CAGTAGCAAAGATAATAAGAGACTGGGAGAGAGAGCACGGAATGCTGAGGGAGGGTATTTGGGAACCTGGCTGAGTGGTCCATAATAAAACCACTGTGGAGTGGGATAGAGATATTTTATCAAAGTGGATTTTCTGGAAGAGTCTTTCTGAAGCTCATATTTGGGGTTCTAGACAAATTTCACTTGTCTAGACAAATGCCAGATGACCTATGGGCTCCCTTTTTTTTTTTTTTTAAAGATTTTATTTATTTATTTGAGAGAGAGAATGAGAGACAGCACAAGAGGGAAGAGGGTCAGAGGGAGAAGCAGACTCCTTGCCGAGCAGGGAGCCCGATGCGGGACTCGATCCCGGGACTCCAGGATCATGACCTGAGCCGAAGGCAGTCGCTTAACCAACTGAGCCACCCAGGCGCCCCATCTGGGCTCCTTTTGACCTCATGAACCATTTGTAGTAAAATGCCTGCCCTGCTGTAACAGCTCAGCCTCTGATTCTGTGAGGGATACTGGAAGCTCAGGTAGCAGCATAGTTGGGGTCCTGGCCATTTCTTAAGAAAAGTAAACACTTGTTTTTATCAGCATAGATATATAAAATAAGATTTTATTTTCATGTATTGAGGTTACTTATCTAATTAAAATAAATATTAAATAGGTATCATGGAAAATGCTCATTTTTATAAATGATTTTCCATTGAATGAACATGGCAGAAACTTTGTTTCATTTTATACCAGAAGTCATTCAAATAGCAACAAGGCACAGCGTGGTGAAATTTCAGAACACCAGCAGTTAAAACTGAGAGATTATTTTAAAAAGTTCCAACAACAGTACAAAGAATGTCCATATTATCTTTATGGAGTTCTCTCGATTGTTAACATTTTAGCACATTTGCCTCAGCAACATCTCTGCGGTCTCTATATCCAAATATGTATGTCGAGACCCACTCAGGATAGAGAACTACATAGTCACTTGAAGAGGAAAAGTTTAATATAAAGAATTACTAACTATAACTGGGGATTGTAGGAATGAGAAATTATCTAGGAAGAAGCAAAGAGAACTGTCAACAATATAGGAATAGCAGACATAAGGATGAGCCACTAGCCTGACAGCTGGGATAAAGTGCCCAAGGAAGGTCTCTTTAGGGCTGAGATCCAGACCTCACCGAAGAGGGCATGGCTGTGGTTCACGGAATGGCAGGGAGGTTGTTGTGGTGCTGTGCTGGTAGAATTTGCTGGAAATCTACCCTCTAGCATGCCAGGGAAAGCTGCTCACAGGGAGGTGTATCCCTAGAGGTGATTCCTGGTAGAAGCTATTGGCTACTGGGGGCTTTGGGCTGCCACTGGCTGCAGACAGCAGGTGCCAGAGAAGCTGGTCACCTGTAGGAGCTGAGTGCTGGGGAGCCGCCGGTCCAGCAGGAGCTGGGTGCTAAGGACATGGTTTGTGCTCAGGAACCAGGTACTGGAGAAGCCACCTGCTTTGCAAGACCCTTGCCAAGGGAACACAATGGAACCAGGAAACAAAACTCTTTTATTCTGCATTATTTCTCCAGCTTCCTTTACTGAAAAAGCTTGTTGTCGACTGGCAAAGAAAAAAAATGACAAGGCCCAGATACACTTTTGCAAAGTAGGCAACAAAAGTTGAATTTGAAGCGGAGAGACGAGGAATCAATAACTGAATATTTTTATTCTTTTTCTTAACCAGTTGAGAGCCACTTACAGACATAATGCCCCATCATGCACCTAATGCCTAATACTCTAATATGTATTTCTCCCCAAACAAGGACACCTTCTTACATGACCACAATTCAGTCTTCCAAATGAAATCAGCACTGATATAATACGGCCCCAGTAAAGCCTCCTTTTCCTATCTGGTCCAGGGTTTAATCCAGGATAACAGTTTGCATTCAGATGTCATGTTTCTTCAGTGTCCTGCAATCTGAATTAGTTCCTCAATTTTTCTATATATCTCATGACCTTGAAAATCATAAAAATTACAGGCATTTCATTCTGTAGAATGTCCCTCAGCCGAGTCTTCATGACCAGACTCAGGTCATGCATAGCGGGCATGACCACCATAGAAATGATGGTTTACTCTCAGTGTATCGCATTCAGATGCATATGATGTGGATCTGCTCCTTCACTGGAGATAGTAAACTTGATCTTCTAATCAAGGTGATGCTGCCATGTTTATGCACCATAAAGTCACCATTTTTGCCTTTGTCGTTGGTTTTACATTGTGAGAAAATACAGTATGTGATTATCATTTTCCTCATTAAATATCCACCCACCAGTATTAGCAAACATTGATATCTTCTGTCTGATGCATTTTCTGTTTCTATGAAATTATTTTCATCCTTCTTTCTTTATTAATTGGCATTCTAATATAAAGAAGATCTTACCCTTCTTTCTTTCCTATTTATTTATCTGTATGAACTCTTGATTCCCATCTTTTCATTTTGTTTTATCATTAACATTATTTGTGTGATGCTCAAATTGTCCCAGAATTGACAAGGGCCCATTCAAGCTTTATCTCCATCATTCTTTGAGTACTTCCTTCATCTCTAGAGCAACATGGTATTCAAGGATCATCTTATACTTTCCTTGCCCCCTCCCCTAAATCAGACATTTCCCCCAGGAAGCCCTGGTTCTGGTACTTAGAAACCAAGACCTTAGTGCTAACTGTGCTTATTGCTACTGGAGTGTAATGGAAGATAGCACTAGGAGAGATATGTATGCATATGTACACATATACATGGACATACACACATATACACATACCTGTATTCCCGTATCTTTCCATATATATTTTTAAAAAATCAAGCTTATCCCACTACCTCCATAGTCCAATTCAATACCTCCTAGGTATTTCTAGCTTTCCCCCTTTCTGTATGTGTAAGTTTCTTTTTGGACAGTGAAAACTGACTCCCATATCCTCAATGTATTCACTTATTTTACCAATCCCCTGTAGGTCACTGATTGCTCAATCACTTAGGCTGCCTCCGTGGCCCTTAGTCTCACTGCCATCTCCTTTGCCCCATTGCTTCCTCAGTCCCTGATTCTGCTGTTGACTCACTGTTACCTAGGCCCTCAGTCACACTTTTGCCTTCAAAGGAAGTGTAGGGGCGTGGAAGTGGAAGTGAGAAATGGATGTTTTCATGCAGTAAGTGTTTAAGAGAGAATAAATAGTAGAGGGAGATTGTCAGGAGCCCCAAACTTTATCATTTTGCACTTTACATTTATATCTACCATTGCGGCAGTTGACAGGTTTAAAAATCAGGGTGAAGTGGAAATTATCTCCAATTCTCATTTAAATTCCAAGTTTTAAAGATATTTTTTATGTAAATTAAATGTATGATAAGCACATTTGCTATATTTTCACATAGGTCTCACTCCAACAATCCAGTTATTGTGAAGATTCAGTTGTTTCATTAAATAACCTTTTTTGGAATATTTTGAAGTCAATTTATTATCTTTATTTAATATTAAATATTATTGATTCAACTATCAAATGCATAGTAGATCAGTAGTAAAGAGAAATATCTTTTTTTTTTTTTTTAAGATTTTACTTATTTATTTGACAGAGAGAGACACAGCGAGAGAGAGAACACAGCAGGGGGAGTAGGAGAGGGAGAAGCAGGCTTCCCGCCGAGCAGGGAGCCTGATGCGGGGCTCGATCCCAGGACCCTGGGATCATGACCTGAGCCGAAGGCAGACGCTTAACGACTGAGCCACCGAGGCGCCCCTGAAGAGAAATATCTTATGAGTGTTGAATGTCCATGAGAGGGGCACCTGGGTGGCTCAGTCAGTTAAGCATCTGCCTTCTGCTCAGGTAATGACCCTGGGGTCCTGGGATCGAGCCCTGTTTTGGGCTCCCTGCTGAGCAGGGAACCTGCTTCTCCCTCTCCCTCTGCTGCTCCCCCTGTTTGTGCTCTCTCTGTCAAATAAATAAATACAATCTTTAAAAAATAAAAAAGAAAGTCCCTGAGATTTCAATTGAATTCCCAGCGAACAGACTTTGTGAATGAAAGCAAGTCTTACAGATCCATGGAAATGAAGTATTACTAGTAATGTTCAATAATCTGGAAAAAGGCTAACAAACAAAAGGAGGTTACTAATTTCAGAGACAGTTACCGATAAGACAGTTCGGGAGAAGAAAGAACAACAACATAAAACCCCACAAAGATTCTATGTAATATATATGAAATGAGTAAAGAGGGGTGCCTGGGTGGCTCAGTCATTAAGTGTCTGCCTTCGGCTCAGGTCATGATCTCAGGGTCCTGGGATCAAGCCCCGCATCAGGCTCCGTGCTCCACAGGAAGCCTGCTTCTCCCTCTCCCACTCCCCCTGCTGTGTTCCCTCTCTTGCTGTGTCTCTCTCTGTCAAATAAATAAATAAAATCTTAAAAAAAAAAAAAAAGAAATGAGTAAGGAATTTGTTTAGTTTGGTATCACTTTCTAGAGACTTCCTATATATTATAACATGAATGGATTATTCCCTCTCAGAGAGGATGAAATGTTCAGTTATTATTTCTATTTTGCAGAGAGGCAAACTGAAGCATGATAGGACTTATCGGAACCACCTAAGAAACTTATGGAGGGAGAAATTTCCCCTGGGTCATTGCTTAGAGCACTGCCTTCTCACACTCTGATCCCCCTGTAGACTTTGTAAAGGAGGTCTGAAGGGCCACAGGATAAACATAGCATGCCTTATTTTTCTGGAACTTCCATTTTGCTCAAGGATGACTAATTTAAAGCATTTCTTATACTGTATCTTGAATGTCATAGACTAGTATCTTGTCAACAAAACTAACTATTAAATATCCCTTGGTCTCTTTTGTTACACAGCACTTACCACACTTTTCACCTGCTCTTGCATTAAGGTTCTATGTGCATCATATGTCTGGGTACAGGATGATGGAATGTGGGTGGAATTAATCCTACCACTCCCATGCATGAACTATAACTTCTACAAGTTTCTTCATGTTTACTTTTTTTTTTTTCCTCAAGCACTGGCTGGAGGCAAATGATCCTGTGGGGTATTCCAAACCCCTCCAAGGTGGTGGAACCACTAAGAAGCAACCACCCTGCATTGGATGGTGACATGAGTAAGTAATAAACTGTACATTTAGATTTGGGGATTATTTGTCTATCAGCTAATATTGCTATTACTTGCTCTGACTGGTACATAGAAGGATAAACACTGCATAGTAATTTTTAAAGTAGAACAGTGAACTTGAACTTGTATGTGGCACTTGTACCTAGTGCTGCTTTGAACTCTGTCTTAAGAACTTCTGGGAACATGTTTGTGATCTTCTGGCCTTGGAACACTTCCAGTAGAGGATTTTGAGAAGCTCTGGTTTACCAACACTAAAAGGTTCAGAGAACACCTACAGGAGAGTAAAGTTCTTTTCTAGTCTTTTATTAGAGACATAAAAGCCTGCATAGTTTGCATTCCCTAATACAGACAAAATGATAGTAACATGTATGAAAATGGATTTCCCAAAAGAGAAAAGTTGGATTTAGATTTTTGACCCCAAGTGTCCTGCATTTTGAAGTTCCTGGTGCAATTATCAATATTTTCTATGCTCCAGTTCTTTTGAATAAATACTCCTTGAAGATTTTTCTCCTGTGTTATCATCACTCACTGTACATCCTTCTTGGTGATTAACATATCTATGTTGATGTCTCTTCTAACACCCTGGCTTTTCAGTTGTGTCCTTCGCTCTTTTGATGATCTTATCCTTTGTGTTCCATAAGCCATTCATTTCCATAGGCATGTCCTAGACCTTGTCATTATCAATAATTTTCAACACTTCTACAATTTCAATTTGATGTATGCTATTTTTCGATCACCACTTTTTATCTTCCTAGGCTCCCCCAACCCTTTGGATTCCTCAAGTCTTATAAGTATTAAACCCAGCTAAGATAGAGAATCCATTGATACTGATATATATTCATGTTCCCTCCTCATCCTTGTAAACTTACCTTCTTACCCAGCTTAAATTCCCTGGTTATGCATTGTAATCACTCCTTTGTATAACCTTCCATTTTCTTGCACTTACTATATTTCTTCGGATAAATCAGAATTGTGAGCAATGCAACCCTCAACCAATATTGCACTTGCAACTGGGTTGGCTGGAGGAGAACACACAACTGTGTTGACTGGTTTCAGTTTAACATCACTGTCATTATTAACCTCACACGAGCCCCTACTGCTATCCAGAAATCATATTTTGTATCTTTCATTTCCATTCCTTTTTAGACACCAGACCATTTCTTTTTTTTTTTTAAAGATTTTATTTATTTATTTGAGAGAGAGAATGAGAGAGAGAGAGAGCATGAGAGGGGGGAGGGTCAGAGGGAGAAGCAGACCCCCCGCCGAGCAGGGAGCCCGATGCAGGACTCGATCCCGGGACTCCAGGATCATGACCTGAGCCGAAGGCAGTCGCTCAACCAACTGAGCCACCCAGGCGCCCGACACCAGACCATTTCTTTATGCCTTCTCCTGCCCCCCTGCAATCATACCTTCTCACAGTCCTCACTTTCCACTGATGACTTTGTTTTTTGTTTCACTGTGAAAAACCTTCCATACCCAATTGCTATCATGTCTACAGTCCTGCTAGCACCTGGGCTTATGAAATCTCACTTCCCTGAGCTGCCTGTGTTCTGCATAAGGCCAGCCCCTCCACCTGTCCATCACATCTCACCCTCTCTTGCCTCTTCAAGAGTTTGCTATTTCTTCCATATTAAAAAAAAATCAGAGCAGAACAAAAACACACCAGTAACCCTGGTTTGCCCCACTTTCTAAATGCTACTCTAATCCTTTCCCTTCCTTGGGATAAAACTCTGTGAAGAGTTGCATAGCTTACTGTATCCAACCTCACGTCTCTCCTTTTCTCTTGAGCCAGAAATCCACATGATTTGCTAGTTTCCTTCATGTCTCTTTTCCATCACTCCCAACATTTCCTAGCTTCTTTCTTTGCTTTATTTATCTCTTAGGTGCTAATCACTGTCTGATATTATGTAATATATTTTCTTTATTTGTCTTGTTTAATTTATGTCTTTCTTACAAGACTGTAAGCTCAGTGAGGGCAAAGGACTTCAGTGAATATCACATATACAGATATAGAAGATACATTGTCACAATGTGTGTAGTACATTTTAGTTCCTCTGTGACTGAGATCTGGGGTCCTGATCTAAGACCATCACCCGAGGAGTCCTTTCAGTGAAAGGACTGTCACAGCAGGTCAGTATGATTCATCCATGTGAAACCTGCGCTGCTACCTGTGCCCCCCACCTCCTGAGATGCCTCACCTCAAATCTCTCAGCTTCTCTCTTGGGGGACTGCTGTCAGTGCCGTGCACTTGCACTTGAGCTGATCATTGCCATTGTGTTTCTTTTTTTTTTTTTTAAGATTTTATTTATTTATTTATTTGAGAGAGAGAATGAGAGAGAGAGGGCATGAGAGGGCGGAGGGTCAGAGGGATCCCTGCTGAGCAGGGAGCCCGATGTGGGACTCGATCCCGGGACTCCAGGATCATGACCTGAGCTGAAGGCAGGCGCTTAACCAACTGAGCCACCCAGGCGCCCCGCCATTGTGTTTCTATTAACCGCCTAAAAATTGCAAATTAAATCTGCACAACCTGGCACCAGAAATTGTTTTACCTATCTTTTTTGTTTTTTTACCTGGCCATGACAGCGTAGTTGACTGAGGGCCACCGACACATAAATGATACAAACATTAAGCCCTGTTTTCATACTTCATAGTGGCAAGCTGGTTGAGTATGCTGAGCTGTATCCTAATAGCTGAGAATAGCTCATCCCTGTCTTCTGGTTGCATTGTGCTCCAGGTGACACCTACCCCCCTCTCTCTTTAATCTCCTATTTCCTTCTACTTTATTTTCTCTTTCCCTTTAGTATGTTGGTTGTTTCTTGGCAGTGGCATATTTGTTGACTTGCTCTTTTGGTGACATCTTCTTTTAATAAGGAAATCTGTCTCTTGGTGTCTCCTCGCCTAAGGGTGTGCTTACTTAAAGTGTAAAATGTCAGACTCTACCAAGGATGACAATAACCCTCTGGGTGAAGAAGAATCAGCCACTGTATTATTAATCACTCAAAAGGTAGACAGGAAATATCAATCCTCTCTGAGAGGAGAACCACTGAAATTAGCTAGACTCTGCACCCTCTACGTTTCACGGCCCTCCCCTTCGTCTTGTGCATTGGCTTACATTCTCACCTCATAGGCACCATTCCGAAAGTCAACAGGAAAACAAACTCAAGAGTCAGAAAAACTCGCCTAGTAACAACTGTGCTGGTTCTAGTCGCAGTTGGAGCTTGAATTTTACCCAGTGACAATCACATTGGCTAAGGAAACGTAGGAAACATTCCTTTGTAGCGAGTTGAGACTCACTTAGAGATAAGTGTCACACTCTATGACAGGGATGAGGGGATGGGGGAATAGGCAGGTGGCTACACTCTGACCCTTACTACTGCTTGACTGGCAGAGCTGGCATTCCCAGCTGTCTTGACTTAATATCCCTTAAAAACTACAGCAGCCTGATCCTCATGAAGCTGCCGAGAATTGGACCCTGCAGTTTAACAGGGATGAAAACGGGGCCTAATGATACGCTACATGGTCATGATCTTTCTAGACGGTTGCACAAGCATGAAGAAATGGGTAGGAGGGCCTTATCTTGGTCTGTCTATAGACCAAAAAGTGATCGCAGATTTATTCCAGAGTGAAGTAGTCTAGCTGCCAACGTTTCTGTATCTGGCACACACACACCTGTGCATATCAGCATTCTTTCTGTAAACTATTGAAACAACAACACCCGGCAGAATGCTAGTAACTACTCCCCAAATTCCGCATCTGTGGAACTCAAAACAGAGTGTCTTCTGTGTTGATCCCTTATAGCTAATACTTTCTGTTTTTGTTCCAGCCAAATCATGGCTTTCTGATGATCTTGGCGGAGTGCCAGAAGCATCGTCAGAACTTGAATTTTCCCAGTGAGAAATTATCTTGAAATTAAAGTTTTTTAAAAAAATTGTTTTATGTTATATTTTCCATGATTATTTAATGCCATAATGGTACATTTTATTTTGTATTTATAATAGTATTTAGATTTATTCAAAGGAGCAATTAACATAAAGAATACAGTTTATGATCTGGACTTTTATTTATTTTTTTAAATTTTTAAAATTTTTATGTTAATCACCATACATTACATCATTAGTTTTTGATGTAGTGTTCCATGATTCATTGTTTGCGTATGACACCCAGTGCTCCATGCAGAACATGCCCTCTTTAATACCCATCACCAGGCTAACCCATCCTCCCACCCCCCTCCCCTCTAGAACCCTCAGTTTGTTTTTCAGAGTCCATCGTCTCTCATGGTTCATCTCCCCCTCTGATTTCCCCCCCTTCATTCTTCCCCACTGGCTATCTTCTTCTTCTTCTTTTTTTTTCCTCCTTAACATATATTGCATTATTTTTTTCAGAGGTACAGATCTGTGATTCAACTGCCTTGCACAATTCACAGTGCTCACCATGGCACATACCCTCCCCATTGTCTATCACCCAGCCGCCCCATCCCTCCCACCCCACCCCCCCATTCCTGATCTGGACTTTTAACTTCCAGTCTGAAACCTCAGTGGCCAGTGCAAAGCCAATAAGGATCAATGTGACTGATAGCTGATCAAGTCTACATATAGTGGCTCAGCTGGGCTTTAATTCTTTTTGGAAAAAAGATTTATTTATTTATTTATTTATTTATTTATTTATTTATTTATTTATTTATTTATTTTTAGAGGGGGAGAGAGAGAGCGTAGACTCAGGGGAAAATGGCAGAGGGAGAGGGAGGGAGAATCTCGGGCAGACTCTGCACTCAGTGCAGCCCTATGTAGGACTTAATCTCATGACGCTGAGATCAGGACCCAAGCGGAAACCAAGAGTTGGATGCTTAACTGACTGTACCACCCAGGCACCCCCCACACTGGACTTTAGTTCTTAATAAGCAATCAGAAGTCTAGGGCTTGGAGGAAACTTTAGAGTTCACATAGTTACCTGCATTCATGCAAAACTGTACCTGAGTATTTCAAGATACAGTGTTCAATGCTAGGAATGCTTCTATTTGACAAACACTATGCTAATGTTTTATATGCATTATTTAAATTCATTCTCATGCACCCATGTGAAATGGACATTAGTGTACCAATTTTTTAGATGAAGAAATTGAGTTTCCAAGAGGATGGGTAACTTGGAATAAGCAGAAGAGCTGGGTTTCAACTATAGATCTGTCTGAAAGTCTAATCTTATTTCTAAAGCTCACTATAGAAGAAATCTTTATAACCTTTTACAGTAGGTAAATATTTATTGATTTTGATGCATAGATTTTTCTCTAGATCTTTGGATTGAATTCACACACATGGCTTTTCTCCTTTAATTCCAATACATTACATCTTTGATTTGAGTTTGAATTTTTAAAAATTATGAAAACATTCTCTGTTGTGCACAAACAATGAATCATGGAACACTTCATCTAAAACTAATGATGTAATGTATGGGGATTAACATAGAAAAAAAAATTATGAAAACATTCTCAGGGAATAAATTGATTATAAAAAGTTCTTTGAAGCTCTGCGATGTGGCATACTTTTCTAACCTAACATGCGAGAAAATATGCTCATTTCATGAGGATTGGTGAGCCTTATGTAGTTTTGAAATTTGTTGTAAAATTTGGTGTGTAAACTAAAATCCAGGCTTCTGATCTCTGAAGTGTTATAGTTCCATTTGAAACTAGAATGAGTACCCACATATCAGCAACATTTAAAAAATTCAACAAATTCTTGCACACATACCACAAGCCAATGAACACATGAGGCCCTATATTCCAGTAGACAGTGAGAAAGACAGTGCACCCGCTCTTACGGATATCACGCATTTTGAAAATTACAGTAACTATATATTTTTAAATCTCAAAGACAAAATCTACCAAGGGGAGTGATTTAGGAATATTTTATTCTTTCTGATAAATGAGGTTCTAATGACATTTAGTAAGTTAAAATGACTGCAATGTGGGTTCCTCTGTTTTTATGTTTAGTTAATTGTTTTGGAGCAACGTGGACAAGGCAGGAAAATCAATGATTAGTTGACAAGGCAGGAAAATCAATGATTAGTTGACTGGGCATTTATATTTATGTGGAAAATCCACAATAAGTGCAAGTCATCCCATTATTTTCTCCCTTTCTTGTTTTGCAAATGATTTAAAATGATATGTAGTAGAATATCAAGTATATGATATACATATACTACATATATCAAATATGTAGTATAAATATCAAGTTTAGAGTAATTCAATTTGGGTTAAAATTCTTGAATCATTTGTGATTAATTGAAATGAATACCCCTCTCCATAATTCTAAACATCTTCTATTTCAGTGGTTTAGAGACTTGCATAGCCTCCTTTGAGTGACTTAGTTTAATAAAATGAAACCACCAGGGTTTCTTTGATTTGACAGTCATGCCGGATAAAAACAAAAACAAAAACGTCTTAGGGTTTCTAGAGCACTTAGCATTAATATTTGGGAAAAAGCAAATGTAGTTGATGACCTACAGACAATTTCTTTATGCCTTACCGACAGAGACTCAAAGGCCACTGAAAGACCCCTGAAATAAACTAATAAGCCACAGTTGTGCAGGCTTGAAATAAATATCAACTAAGATTTATATTCAGACTGATGTTGAGGTTAGTTCCTACTGCTAGGCAACCAGCTGACCTAAGTTTAATTTAAATTGGTATTGTAGTGTCTCGTAATGGGAACTGTCAGTAAGGAGAATTTCTGTGACATAAGGAATGTAGTGATACTTCCCTCTTTCCTACCCTCACTGTTAAAAAGTGACTTCATATCTGTGATCATGTCTATGGAGCCAAATGGGGTGGGACTCTATGACAATTATTGGAATAAATCAGGCCAAAATAACACTTTCGTTAAAATTATTCAGGAAATAGGAGGTATGCTTGATATTTTGGGTTTGAACCGTCTGATTTCCTCATTCCTCTGCTTTCATGTGACCAGTGAGGTCACATGAAATCAAACTTAGTGGTACTGCTATGCTTTTTTTCCCCCTGCCTTCCTATTATCTCTGTCTAATTCACTAGTTGAAAATACCAGCTCTTTCTGGCCTTTTCCGTCTCTCCAGCCAAGTCAGAAGCAAGAACCACCATCTCAGCTATGCATATTTGTAGGGTCCCAAGTTGGGAACAGTGGTTCTCTGGAACTCTCAGCTTCCTGTTCCTGGCCCCTTAAATCAGCTAAAAAGATGGTGGGTTTATTGGATATATCAGCTAGCATTCTGGAGAATGGCAACGTACAACTGCCAAAATGTTGAGTCCCAGCTCAGCCTTTGTGTAAATCCTGGAAAGACCTTGTCAAGTCTTGTGTTGCTGTCACTAACTCTGCACAGAGGGCCTCTTCAATTTCACTGTTTCCACTTACCTTTGTCAATGGTGCCAAACCGAGACCTTATATTTCCTGCCTGTAGATTTTATATTACCTTTTAAACATATAGCTCTATAGTAGATTTCATTTTGCTGATTGAGTCTTCTGTCCATAAGCCATACATTCTTTTTTTTTTTTTTAAAGATTTTATTTATTTATTTGAGAGAGAGAATGAGATAGAGACAGAGAGAACATGAGAGGGGGGAGCGTCAGAGGGAGGAGCAGACTTCCCGCTGAGCAGGGAGCCCGATGCGGGACTCGATCCCGGGACTCCAGGATCATGACCTGAGCTGAAGGCAGTCGCTTAACCAACTGAGCCACTCAGGCGCCCAGCCATATATTCTTTTATTCATATCTACGTATTTTTTGTCTAGTTAAGGATCAAGAGAAATTACAGATGCTAAATATGTTCACCGTGTTCCTAGTAGAGCACATAAGGGGTAAGAAAATGCAGCCACTAGTAGGGATTGTAAGTCAATTCAAAAGAAGAAGTTATCATTTTAATTTATCAAAATTGCAAATAGTTTTTTCAAAAGATTATTCAGTCCCGGTAAGTTACGATAAAATACATACTCTGGCGCATTGTTATTTGCAATAAAATTAGTAAAACTATTTTGGAAATAAATTTATATACACTAATGTTTACATGTTTTGGAAAATAATTTCATTTGTAGGAATATTTTGCAATTACCCAATTCATACATAGAAAAAAATTATATAAAAGAGGTGTTAAATAGTCCATTATTCCATAGTTATTGACAAAAAGTAAATAATAGAGAAATCTATGAATAAGAAATTATTATAAAACTGTGAATAGCTTGCTATCTTTGCAAGCTATTATGCAACATCATGGGGCAATATTCACAAAATGATACAAAATTTAAAAAATGATTAATATTGTGATGTCCATAAGGAACCAATTTTTGTTTCCAAGAGGGAGGTAATAATGGAGAGTGAAATAGGTCAAGTTATTTTTCATAGGCAAATCCACATTAAGTTTCTTAATTAGGATTCTTGGAGCAGTTATTTACCCAACAGTATATAAATACAAGTGAGGGTCAACTTTCACTCATTTGATAAATATATTGGGAGCATTCAATACTCAGAGAGTAAGGGTACAGGATGAATAAGATATTATATACAGTCTCTTCCACTGAGGAGATCAGAGTACAGCTGGGGAAAGAAGGAAGCACAATTACCATGCATGTTGTTACAAGGAGAGATAAAGGAATACCCAAATTGTATTTAAAATATGAAAGAGTTTCTTTTATGGAAAGAGCAAACTTGTAAAGGGCATAGAGAAGTCATAAGGGAGGTTCTCCGATGCTTAGAGTCATCTTTCTTCTCTAGGTTTTTTTCAAAACGGGCTACCAATATTGAGCTGAATTTCCAACTATGTATCCATAATATTCCATACATACGTATTCTGAGGACAGGGATCGCTGCAGGGGGGACATCCCAGGTCTGCACAAGAAAGGTAGCTGTGCTTTAGGAAGGTGCTGAGGAAAATGATGATTCAATATTTGTTGAATACACTTGTGTGCCAGGTTAAGCCCCCATACTCACTTCACTGAATACTGAGATGGGATTTACTAGAAAACATTATGGTAAGAAACAATAAAACTGCTCACTCAACAAACCGATTTATTTATGAGCCATTTCAAGCTTGTTAGAAAGAATCAGTTCTAACGTGGTCTCATGTTTTTAGTTGTGAAATATAGATGCATTGCGATTGATGGCTAGTCAACTATTTTGAAACATTTGCCTCTCCTGTGCTCTGCATCTCTTGCTCAGTTCCCCTCAAATGTCAAATTAACCTTATGAAACTCCACTTTACATGATAACTGCGATGAATAAAAAGACCTTTTGTGAATGTGAGTGTGTGTGTGTTGGGGGGGGTTGTTTTCCTGCCTAACACATGTCAAGATCTGTTTAAACCCCTTGCTTTGTGCTCAAATGTCACCCTGCCAGAATTCATTACATCCTGTTTATTAATTAATTAAATATATTTATACAGAACAGGCTTTATGAGATGGAGTAAGAAATAACGTTATGAGAGGCATCCTCCAGACGCAGTGGCTCGTCTCCGATGGCAACCAGGACTTCAGCCCTATCCCCCACTGTCAATCCACTGAAAGGAAAATTTAGCAATTAAAGGTAGAAGATCAAAGGAATTACTCTAATTCTGGGGCTGCATATGAAGGAAATGTATCTTTTCTAGACCACTGCAAGATCATAAATATCACTCCGTTTTTTCCGTAAGTAAAAACACGTCTTTCCCTACACATGCATGCTCGTGTGCGCGCACACGCAGACACAGAAGACCTAACGGGGACCTTGAGTGAGGCGCTAAAGCAGCCCTGAAGAGTCAGCGAAAGCTTACTGACCTTCTACTGACACCAACCGCTGGACCAGATGCTCCCATGATCTTTTCACGTCAACTGAGTGATACCTCCCTGCCTTTTGCCTCCCCGCCTTTAACCTCAGGTTCCTTCCTTGTTTTCCAAAAGGGGTTACATGCACCTGCCCAATCTGTTGGAGTCACTGTGGCGGTGAAATAAAGTGAAATTATGAGAAACTGCTCTGGGGGAAAAAAAAGGCATGGCATAGAAACGAAGTGTCATTATGGATGGCTTTCCCAAGCATCCTCTTAGGAACATAGTGTTCCGACATTGAGGCTATTTGTTTAGGGCTCAGTCCTGAGGTTTGAATAGGTCCACCCAGGGAGGGTGTCAGTGAGGCTGAGATGAGCACATTATCTTGAAGATATTTTAGAGTAAGGGTAGGAGAGTTTATGGGAGAGAAAATATACATATGTGTATGAACATTATATGCTACAAGGAATCCTCAGAAGGCGGTGATATAAAACTAGAAAGATAATAATCAAAAAAGGAAAAAAAAAGAAGAAATAAGAACAAGAACAACAAGAGGAAAATAGGTAGTGATAAGAAATAAGAAATAGTGCCTGAGATCAGGATTCATTTCCTTTGTCTTCCAGCAAATGTGGAAAGGGAACTCAAATAGGGTAGTGCCTAAAATTTCATGTTGGGAACGCTGAATATTTGTTGAATATAATATCTGAACACATATTAAGAGGGCAGTTGGTTCTCCAATACTCGAATAGAAAGCACTTATCCATTCCGGCTCTCACCCCTTAAATGGAAATCAATGTGAAAAATCAAATTTGGTTTATTTTAAGTTTCTTTAAACCTGCTTTTCAGGCATGTGTCTACTTCAGAGTATGAAGTGCAGCTATTTGTGATAAGCTGAATGCTGCCTATTTGATGATCTAGCAATGATTTGGGTTTGTAATCATTGTCCACTTCCAGTCTGTGGACTGGGTTTAATCTAAAATTAATCCTTTTAAAAAACATTAGGCAATAGTTCTTAAGTCTATGATGCATAGCTATCAGAACTGTGGGTTGCTTACTGGTCTTATAAAGTTGAGTCTCCTTCCTTGGGCCTGTATGGATGTTTTGTAATAAAGCAGAAGAAATAACTTTGTCAGTTTGCATATTATGTCTATAGTAAGATTTCTCTAGAAGAAAGATATATAAATTGAACTTGAGATTACTCAGAAGGTGATTTTCCACCTGCTTTCTTTCAGTCCTAAATTCCTGAAATTTAAGTATTGAAAGAAATCTTACAGATTATCTATTCTTCTTTCATTTAATAGGCAAGCAAACAGGCTCATACCACCTTCAGTTGATAAGAGTCTGGGTCTGGACCTTTACCCTGGGCTCTTTCCTCTAAAATGGGCTCCTTCTGTACAAAGCACCCTCACAACAATAGTGGGAAAATGAAGTCCATTTTCCAAAATTTACCCGGACGTAAGCCAGTGTATTTTCAGAAGAAATTTCTGAGTACTTGTTGGGATTTTAGGCTAGTTATTCTTTGATTTGGGAGGGAGGGTGCAGTCCCAACGAGCCAAAGGGAGGCTTGCTGATTTAATTTACTTCTAGAAGTCTCCAAACTTGATGGGAAATTTTATGTTTAGGGGAATCTAGGTGTAAAAGGAAAAAAAAAGTAGTTTGAGGGAACTTATTTTAAGTGTAATATAAGGGATAATTATTTTCTTTAGTCCTACTTTCTCTTTGTGCTGCCAAATTTGGGTATCTTTGTGAAAGACAGTCCTTGCCAAATAATCCAGCCCAGGGCACTTACGTGATATGTCTTCTCCACCCTTGTCTTTCCTGCTGAAACGTTCCTAGACAGTGTCTGTTCTAGATGACATTGTTACAAAATAGCATAAGTCTGCTTGACTCACATGGAGCTTTACGTGAGCAAGAAATAAACCTCTGCTATGTGACACCATTCAGGTTTTAGGACTTGTCATAGGGGAAGCTGGTATTAAATTTTCATTTTTACAATTATTGTTGTGAATGCTCTGTGCCTCTTTTCCTTTCATTCTCTGAGTCTCGGTGAGGGGCTCATTGATACATGTATATAATTTCCTAGTAATCAGATGGAGATTTTTCAGTAAGAACTTTGCACCATCCAAGAAATGCCACCGTTTCGAGTTTCATCAAGGTGGTCCTTGTGAATTATGTATCCCTTAAAAGACAGAGTATCTTGGTCCCTACTAAACTCATTTTCTTGGGTACTAAAATGTTATCTATTTACTACTTAAAAAAGGGAGTGTGCTAGTTGAGCTTGGAAGCCTCTTTTTCCCCCTCTTTTTGTAAGTCTGTGTCTGAATAGCTTAGCACTATAAAGCCCATGGTTATATTATAATATACTATATTACTTTTTTGAAAGACAGTCCCTAATTATGGACCAGTTAGATCTACCCCACAACCCTATTAGCCCGCCCTGTGTTATAATAACAATGACAACAAAACAAAGATAACAATTTTGACAAAGATTGTGACTTCTTCTTTTTTCTTCTCTTCTCCTTTCCTTCTTTCTCTTACATCTAACCATCCAGCAGGAGACCACATTGTCCAACCTCCCTTGAGCTAGGTGTGGCCAATGTGAGTGGAAGTGATAGGTGTGACTTCCATGTCATCTCCTTAAGAGGAAATCGATTACTCTCCATCCCCTTCCTCTTTCTTTTCTTCTTTTCTTGGATGTGGTGCTAAAGGGCCAATTTTAACCATGCAGATGGCAATATTCTTAAGTAATGCTTCTCAAATATTAATTTGCTTACTCAGTGATGGTGTTAAAATAGAGATTCTGATTCAGAAGGCATGGGTAGGGCCTGAGCTTTAACATTTTTTTAAGAAGATTTATTTATTTTAGAGAGAGAGACTGTGTGCTTGAGCTCGGGGAGAGGCAGAGGGAGAAGGAGAGAGAGAGAGACAAGCAGACTCCATGCTGAGCGTGGAGCCCAACTTGGGGCTTGATCCCAGGATTCCGAGATCACGACCTGAACTGAAACCAAGAGTCAGAGGCTTACCAGACTGAGCCACCCAGGCACCCTGTTAACATTTTTAATAAGGTCGCACGTGATACTGATGTTGCTGGTCCAGGGCCACACTTGGAATAACCGGGTTTTAAAGGATGACAAACACATAGGCCCCTGGGTGACCTCTAGGAGCAGAGCTTTATCACATACCCAGACCACCCCACTCTGCATCGCTTAGTGAGAGGTTTATCAATTTCTATCATAGCCACATGTTTTTGGATGTATTGCCTACACCACAATGAATACAAAAAGAGTAATAATAATAGCAATAAGTATCATTTAATGGGTGCTTACCGCGTGGCAGACACTTGTAGCCATTATCTGTTTAATAAAATCATAATATCCCAATGAAGTGTTATACCATTTTATGGATGTGGAAACTAAGGCAAGAACAAATGAATGACTGGTCCAAACACACACAATTTGTAAATGGCAGCTCTGGTATTCAAACTTGGATGTCTCTGTCCTCAAATGAGATATTCATCATCAAATGGACCACAGCTTGACCAGTGCACTTTAACTTGGGACCTGATCAGCCCGTCACCACAAGTTTTACCTCGAGATGTTTGGGTTAGTGTTGTTCATTCTCTTCCAGCCAACAAGTCAGGGATGATCTTTTGCTATTCGTGGGAGAGAAGACCCAAGAACTATCATTCCTTCTGCCCACCATTCATTCCCAACCAAGATTACAGGAAGAAACAGACTGAGGCACTAATGTGCATACTCTATTTGAAGATTAAAAAGACCTGTTCTCTTTTACTGCTTCATCTTATTAGGTTCCTGTCTTCTACTGATCAGCTCTTTTTTTGGTCCCTGGTGAGCTATGAGAGAGAAGGAAAGAAAGAGGGATGCTAATGGATTACGAGCCTGGTAAATGTCAAGTCTGGCAGAGAGGGGAAGCCAGCATACATGTTTAATGCGCCTTTGGCCTTTGGGCTCCAACGCCCATCAGAACTGTTGGCCCAAGTCAATCAGAGATTCTAATAGCCTAGAGAAGGACACATGCAAAGCACTCCAGATACCTCCTGCATTTGTCTCCTCCTGTCTAACTGTATGGAAGCAAAGCCAAATGACTCACCACATTTGTGAAGCAGTGTGTGGGGAGAATAACAGATGGATTAAGACATTTTTCAAACACAACTCTGGAAGAAAAGTCAAACCTCGAAAGGAGCGTTTCACCATTTCCCGTTCCAGCGAAGTAAAATCCATGTCTGGTGCAAGCAGTGTAGGCCTATTATTTTTGTGAAACAATAACAATGACATTTCCACTTCAAACTCCTTATGACCCTTCTAAGGGAGCTGTTTGTGCCTCACTTGTTTCACCGTTTTTCTCTTTTTTCCCTGGAGATCGCCTTGCTTTTATAACAACGAGAGACTAAAAGAGGGAGCAAGAAAGGGGTAGGGAGAACCCACAGGGGAAGAGTAAGAGAAGAAGTGATAGAAAAGCATCAGAAGATAAAAAGGGAGGGTGAAGGAGGTAAAGGAGAGAAATAAGCCCATAAAATAAATATGCGTTCTAGGTCTCCAGGTGCAAGATATCACAAAGCGCCTTCTTGCTTTGGGATAATTGCAAAACTAATAGACTTCCAGTGGAAAGGGATTCTTCCTATAACGCAGGAGGTCTAGGCAAGTGGTAGTTAAAGGCTGGGAACGTATCACAGACCCCTTCTGTTCTCCTTGGGCTCATTCAGCTGACCATCTGCTCCTCAGCAGCCTGGGAGCCTCACCCTGACCCTCAGCTTCCTCGAGATTTTGGATTGCATCTCAAAGGAGCTTTTCCATGTCTTGCCTTGTTCTCAGGGGGTGGGTGTGGGACCTCCCATTCTAATCCAGAGGTACCTGTTTGAGGTTCTTTCCTTCAAGGTTCCATCCACATGTATCGTATTAATGAACTCAAATTAAGCCACTCATGGACAGTTATTAAATCACACATCAGTCTTCCCAAGTAATATTTGCATTTTAATACTAAAGGAATTTTAGATATTCTTTTTAGAATTTTAGACATTTTGGCAGGATTAGAAAGAAATATTTTTAAGCACAGAGGTCTTTTCCAGAGACTTGTCATATAAAAACATAACGTAACTGAATATATATATTTATGTTATTATTTGCAATCAGTTTGATTAAAAAGTATCTATTTCTTTTACACGGATAAGATAATAAACCTCATTAAATAACATTAAAAAATGCAGAAGTACTTCAAAAACCAAACTTGAGGAAGGAAATAATTGTCTAAAGAGTTCTGATTGCCTGGTATGTGATGCAGAGTAGGGCAGTAGACTCATCACCACAGAAAATGAAGTTTATTATCAATCCAGTGATTAAGTATTGTAACTGAAGTACTATACTCTTACGAGAGAAAAGACTACTTGTTAACCTCTTTATTAAATCCTGTTGCCAACCAGCTGGCCATAACGTGTGAGCAGTAAATGCTTCTTTATTTGTTTTTAGCAGCTGAACTTTGCCATAGTTCGTTACACAGCAGTAGCTAACTGAAACACTTCTCCATTGCTGACAAATTGTGCATCAGAGGCTCCTTGAATTGGCAAACACAGACTCAGTAATAGATTCAGCAGAATTACAATATGAAATTAAGCTATTATGAACACAGCTCTGTTTTGTGGTAGATACTTAGAAGTGATTGAGAGAGACAGGGAAGTCATTAAATTCTCTCCCTCTCATTCTTTCTTCCTTTATAACTTTTCTGAAACACCTGTGATAGGAAGTAACAATAGGAATAAATAAGTCATTGCTTTTGCCCCTAAGATGCTCACGGTGTATTGGGGGTATGTGTCTGTGCAGGGAGGCAAGAAAATGAGCAATTAAAGGACATATATAAGACCGTCACTGATGTATGAGAACACAGAGGAAGGAGCACAGTGCTTAATTCTTCCTGAGAACATCATGATAATCTTTACAGAAGATACAGAAGAAAATCTTTACAGAAAATCTTTATATCATGAAAATCTTTACAGAAAATCTTTATAGTACAGAAGCTCATTTGAGCTAAGTTTTGAAGGAATAGGTTAGAACTTTGATGCATAAAATATGATCCATGGACCAGGTGCATCAGCCTCAGC